AAACGAACACAAACGAGCTTGTTCACGAACATTAGTAAACGAATACAAACGAGCTTGTTCACGATCTCTTAGCAAACGAGCTTACAACTGTTCAAGCTCTGTTCGTTTATTAACCGAGCTCTAAATTTTGTTTGTTGATGTTCGTTTACCTTAACAAACGAACATAAACGAACGCTTACCGAACACGAACACGAGTAGTTTGACGAAAGCTCTGTTCGCTAACACCCCTAATATTTGACCCCCCTTTTGGCACCCCTTTAAATGGCATCCATCCAACCCAATGAAAGGTCTACAACCAGCTAGAAATCCCTCTCTACATGCTGTATAACAAATATACAACCTCATAAACCTTGAACTACCATTGATTGTGTAATCCCCATCAACTTTCATTTTTGCACTTGTCCCTGGATTGCTTTTCTTCAACTCATCACAGTAATCCCAAAGCTTTTCAAATTGATTGTGATCATCCCCATATATTTCCTTATGTGCCAGCCTCTTAGCCCTCCATGAATGATGTTTACTTATGACAGAATTAAATTTCTTCTTCACTTTCTGTTGAAACTGAATCCTACTAAATGAATCATCAGCAGTTTTGAACTCATCTTGATAGTACTTAGCAACAAAACCAGCATTCACAGTCTTAATGTCATTTTGAATAGCACATGTGTGGTCTGGATTATAACTTTTAATGCTCAGTAGACTCCTAGAATTACTCTTTGAAGCATACATCTTCCATTTACAGTTATCATCCTTACATACAACAGTAATTCTAGCAGGTCCAATCTTAGTAAATTTGATGGCTCTTTTCCTAAGTGCTTGGTGACATTTTACAGCCCATTTGAAGTCATCATTACTGTTAAATATCATGCCAACAACAAACTTGAATCCTTCTTTTTCAAGATCTTTTTCATGAAAAACATTTGATGGCTTAGATAGCTCCAACTCTGAGTCAGATGAACATAAACTCCTCAACTCTTCTTCAGAATGGACAAAATCATTTTCTTCCCCATTATCTAAAACTTTTTGTTTGTTTTTTCTGATTTTAGACACCCTAACTACAGTAACATTACCATCCATAGTAGCATTCTCAGAGGCATTCACAGAAGGATTCACATTCACAGAGGCATTGACAGTAGCATTCTCAGAAGCAATCACATTCACAGTCACATTGTCTTTTAAAGTCCTACCATTATTATAACCTTCACCAACTTCAAATTCCCAATCTTGTAATGGAACATTACTTTCAGATTCTACCCATAACTCATCTAAAATGTACCCATCTGCATGTACCTCATAGTCCCACTGGTCATCTTCTAGATGTTCTACGTACATTTCAACCTCTTTATTTTTGGAAATTTCATACATGACACTCAACAGTTCAGCATCAGTTTTAATCTGTCTCACTTTAGGATAACTCTTAGAACCACATTTAAACCAAAACTTCACCTTCTTATCACAAAACTTTAAACTTTTCACCAGTTTTCTTAATTCTAAAATACTACCTTCTTCACTAGAGAATTTGTCAAAATACTCAATTCTACCATTCTTATATTCAACTCTAGGTTTTAGCACTAGATCTCCACCATAATACAGTTTGAGAGTGTACATACCAACCTCATCATCTGACAGTAAAGAAATAGCATATAAGTACATTAATTTCAAGTCAAACTACTGGGGACCACAAAAACAAAGCTCAATTTCACTAAATCGACATGTTTATTGGCAACACACAGAATTGGGGACCACAAAAACAACACTAATCTGGGCAGAATAAAAAATTGCTTAATTCACACAATGTTGGGACCTACACACATGGGAGAATCCAGATAACCATCGCACATGTTCAGTAAATGATAATACAAACCAGATAACAACAAACTATTAAGGGGTCCCTACTATTATAGTACAACCATTTATGACAAGCCAGACAACAATCTTCGAATTCCTATTAAAGTATTACTATTCAATTTAATACTTACATCTGGGTGTAGCAGTTAGTCCAGATAGCCTTCGACTAGTCATTATCGCATACTCCAAGCTTCGGTTTCCTACCAATTTACTCTGTACTAAATGAGAATTTAAGATAGGGTTAGGGTTTTGAACAATTTCACGAAGAAGAGAAGAAGACAGTAAGAAGAAGTTTTATACTTGTTGTCGGCGAACGAACACACGAATGGAAGAAAAGCTTAATGTCGACGACGGCTTCGACTTCGTGTCCTTCAATCGTCGAATGGGTTAAAGGAAATAATGTAATCTGTTTGTCTGTATCCTTTTGTCGAATGGGTTAAAGGAAAAGGGTAAAAGCTTTTGTTAAAAAGGTTAAAAGAAACAAATGAAAAATATAAAAAGAAAAAAAGGAAAAATAATGCAATTACATATTTACCCTCATATAACGTCATTGACTAACGGGAATTCACAGATCCGTTACCGGAGGGGTTATAAGTGCACTGTTTTAATAATTGAGGGGCAACATTTACAACCCTCATAATTCAGGAGTAACATTGATAATTGATCAATTATAGAGGGACATTTTTTACAATTTTCCCTATATATATATATATATATATATATATATATATATATATATATATATATATATATATATATATATATATATATATATATATATATATATATATATATATATATATATATATATATATATATTAATTACCACAGTAATTACACACAAAAATATGAATGATAATTTATTTTGTTCTCATAGTATTATACCATAAGTATAATATATGTATGTATGTATGTATATTATCTGAAAATTAATTATAATTAAAAAAAAAATCTAACGGCCTATATTTAATTGTTTATACTATTATTAGGGTAATTATTAGCTTAATTATCATAATAATTTTTAGGTAATTATACTAATATTGTGTAATTATACTTGTATACCTTATATATATATAAACGATCAAGATTAATCCACATTTCTTATGTGATAAAGTGTCCTCATTTGATCCTTAATATATATATATATATATATATATATATATATATATATATATATATATATATATATATATATATATATATATATATATATATATGTGTGTGTGTGTGTGTGTGTGTGTGTGTGTGTGTGTATGTATATAAGGGTTCATGTGAGATGGCTACCTTAGGTGAAAAATGCGGTGAAATCCTAGCAATAGATCAACTCTTCCTTTTTTAAAAAAAAGTTGGCAATGATACGGCACAACAATGTGCTCTAGAAGAAGGAAAAATGTGCACTGGAACACTAGAAAGGCAAAAATGTGCATGGTAAGGTAGAAAATATGAAATATTTATTGAAAAGACTAAATTAATGCATGATTTTTAACACAAATCATAAACAATCACAATATTCAACTAAAATCAAGATCAAATGTTCTTTAAAATTATATATATATATATATATATATATATATATATATATATATATATATATATATATATATATATATATATATATATATATATATATATATATATATATATATATATAACACCTTCGAACTTAAAGGTTGAAGGCACAATAACGTGCACTGTAAGGCACAACAATGTGCTCGATATGAAGGGACAATGTGCACTGGAACTCTGAAAAAAATAAACTAACTTACACAAAATTATCAAAATACCACTGCATTTTTTGAATAAAATTACTTCATTCTGAACATTGATCTGATCTGAATCAATGGCTAAGATTACATCATATTTCTCATTTATTTCACTATATATATATATATATATATATATATATATATATATATATATATATATATATATATATATATATAGGAAAGGGATCAAGTGCATTTGTGGCTTCCCGTGCGGTTGATTAATGTGCGTGAGTTTTATACTTAATGTGCGTGAGTCTTGTGCTTAATGTGCCTGAGATTTGTACTTAATGTGCGTGAGTGTTTAAAGTTAATATTCTCAAATGTCCTAGACCAATCCCATATACACCAATCGTTAAACATGCACCACGGTGCACATAGCACTGTGCCCCTCGCGCCTCCCAATTCCTAAAATGACGTAACTTATGTAGAGAGTTGACGTGATTATGTACATTATGGTATACAATTATGTACATTTCTTTATACAATTATGTACATCCGAAACAGGAAATTTATGTGTATTATGTTAAGAGTTTATGTGTATTATGTTAAGAATTTATGTGTATTAAGTATTATGTTAGAATACGTGTATTATCTTTTCAAAAAAAGTATATATATTTTGTTATACAATTATGTACCCCGTACATTTTTAACATGAGATTTATTTTTTAAAGAAAATTAACATCCGACACAGGATAGCGAAATTTTTTTTAAAAAAATCCGAAACGACGTCGTTTTGCACCAAGGGGCACAATGCAATGCGCGCCCTGGTACACGATATAAATTGCCCATATACACATTTGAAAAGTTTGTTATAACACTCATTGTGAAATGAAAAGCACTACATTTAGTGATAAACAAACATATCTAAGCATTTAATTCGAATGTACATAAATTTTTTAAGATAAGGACGGGGTGGATCAAGGGTATTTCCCAAGTTCCCGTCCCCCATCTCCGGCTCCATCATCTCCGGCTCCATCAGAGCGAGAAATCGGAGAGCGTCTCCATCTCCACATTCATCAAAACGGAGAATCGGATTCTCCAAGAGCAAGATAAGGTGCAATTGACATCCCTAGAATAGCAAATTTTAAGTGCAACTTGGGTTGTTTATTACTGCTCTTTGTATCCTTAAATCAACTTGGAGCATTGAAGGACTGAGCAAAGAAACATGGATTTGAGGTTTGTTCGGAATACAGAGCTCCCTTTTGCCAAGCAAACAAGAAATAGAAATGGAGAATCAAGACAGATATGAGGAGAAATTTATTTTCAAAATTTGTGACTTCTTAAATTCTCAGGGTTTTATGGAATATTTTTCACAAGTTCTTGTGGAGGTAAAGAACACAAAAATGTGTAGCCTAAATTTTTATTATAGGCGATTGCTACTAAAACATCCCCAAACTTCAAATACTAACAACAAATGATAAAGTAGCTAGAGAAACAACACATCTCTAAAAATTTATGAAATATTCAAGAGCAAAAAGTCCGGCAAAATTCACAATTTGCCGTATACGTAAGAATGCTCAAATCCACCAATTCACTTTTAGCAGTGAGGATATAACAAATTACAGATTTGATGATAGCAGTCTTCGCTTTACACCACTGTTCTGCATAATAAAAATTCAAGCCATTGAATAAACCGCAACAAAATGGAGATTGGCTCTCACCACGAATGCGGATAGATATCTCTTTTACTCCTCTTACAGACCCCTGCAACCAAAGCAATCAAGGAGTGTCAAAACAGAGAAAGAGATAACTGGGAAAATGTGTTTTTGTTCCTGAGTTCTTTGGGGAACAATGATTCTTGATTGTTTATTCAAAGAAGATAGCAACCAATGTGGTAAAATGATTGCAACGAAAAGAAAGTCATATACATCCTTGTGTAAAAAGTAGAAGATTAAAATGAACAGTCCATGAAAGTATTTCTTGAATAATAAGCGGAACATAATGGTCTATGTGTCTAGCAAAAGAGAAATATGGAAGCTTGATCCCCAGATTACCTACCCAGAAAGATCACCAATACTTTCACCCTTTCAATTATATACATAAAAAAGGATGAGGATGTAGAACATAGAAAGCTATTTTGAGAGTCAAAGATAGGAATTACTTAAATGCATTGCAATGCTTGGTGAAATGCACTTAACAAGAATCATGAGAGTAAGGCCTATTATAGATTATAGATGCATATAAAACCAGAAAGCACAGGGAACAATGCTTGACGAATGAGCAGAGAAGCAGAGGCCATAAGTAAATCTTAAGCAGAAAGAATCAAGGGAAGATAAATGAAATTCAGCACCAAACAGCATCACTGGATTTAAACAAATTCTGGAGTATCATTTATGATTTCACTGTCTATCTGTTGTGGAAATTTCTGTCAAATTAATCTCTGGGGATATGAGGAAATAAGCTAAGTCAATATTTGCAGAGGTGCAAATTAGGGGGCAAAAGAAAGTAAAGAATGAAAACAAGAAAACATTTTGAAAGACGCTTAACTGTACTAGATTAAGCTACATATTACTTTGTCATTTCTTTTCCCTACTGCATCAATTTAACATAAATTTTCATTCAAAATCGAAGAGAAGCATGTTTATTAAGGAGTATTAATTGTTTGTCTTTAACCGCATTCATTTCGAGCTTGCAGGCCGTTGCAGATGGAAACTATGAACTGTCATTTATATATCAAAAATAAAATATCTGGATGACTGTAGCCCCCTTTGACTACTCGAGAGAGGAGATTGTTCATCATCCACAAGCTCTAGGACAGAGGGATGAAACAAATAATTTGCTCAGTATTTGTTTATTTCCCCCTGTCCAGATACCTAAATTCACATTCAAATTTCCTTTCCACCTTAAAATTCCAGAACTAACCAATATATTTATTGAAGCAAACATTACTCCTCTATACATAATATATGTGCACTTATGACATCTGATTGATATTTGCATGACAAAATCCTCAAATTCCAGTTAGATTATCAATCCATAATATATATACCAATCTAATAACTGCACAGAAAAATTTAAATTATTAAAAACCGGAAACAAAATTGAAGCTGAGACTTGAAGTTGATTTACCTGACTTTCTTGACGAGGATGGATTTGAGCTTGCGAGCGAGTTCTTGGGAGCGGATCTTACGCTGGAGGGCTTTCTTAGCGAGTACCCGCTTCTCGCAGTTCTTGATATGGCGAGGCTGCTGGCGCTTTATGATCCGTTCGATCCCGCTGGACTGCATCATCCTTTGCATCACCACCAATGCTCTCTCTAGATTGTTGTTGTAGACCTTCACTCGGATTCCGCGGCATTGTTGGAGCTCCCAACTCACTGAGTTCAGGGAAGCACTGGGACGAGTGAAGACGGCGGCCGAGACGCGGTTCCGCAACCAGTTCATTCTCTACCCTTCTACGGCTTTCTAAATTCCACCACGAGTTTTTATTGGTAAAGTAGGGCAGTGGTAGTAAAATAACACTTTTACCCCTGCTGATTAGATTATGTTTTTTTTTTTTTTTTTCTTTTGATAGCTTACGTTTCTGAATCCTTTTTTTTTTTTTTTTGAAAGAAAGTCATAACATTAATTCATCAAGTCCGTAGACAAAGCATTACAAAGGAAAGGTGGCGGAATAGAAAGCCACTCGGAGCAACCAGAACTAGAAACGGCATATCTAGCTATAGCATGAGCTACACCGTTCGCTGATCGCTTTACAAAGGATAAAAACACATGCGAAAAGTCGCACAATACGTTTTTAATATCACTAAGGATTACATGGAAAGAGGATTCTCCTATACTCGATTTGAGACTGTTGACCACTTGAAGAGAATCTGTCTCAACGCTGACTTTATTCAAGTTTAGTTCTTTAATCCAGCTCAGTGCTTCCCTGATCGCAGTAGCTTCAGCTTCCCTGGGTGAGAAAACACCATCCCATTGAATTCCTCTAGCTGCTACAAAAGTGCCGTGTTCGTCTCTGATGACGCACCCAAAGCCCATCTTGCCGTTGATTGAGTCTATCGCTGCATCGACATTTAGTTTGTGAAAACCTTCCTGTGGTTTTGACCATTTAGGTTGCACAGTAGTCGACTCCTCATTAACTGGTAAGGATGGTAAGGCTGCTTCTCTCCAATCCTGCAGATACTTCGAAGCTTTAAAGACAATGGTCTCTGCACTTTGAATCCTCTTGTTGTTCCAGATCTTGTCGTTTCTTTGTCTCCAAATTTCCCAGCAACACACGATCACTGTGCATAATTGATCCCTAGGCAAAGATGATGATAGAAAGATGAACCATTCCTGGACAGATGAGAAATGAGCAGAGTTCGGTTGGCACCCAAGAATACTCCAGCATTGTCGAGCATGAATACAATCCACAAACAAATGCCATGCAGATTCCGTCTCTTGGTCACATAAAAGGCAGCACTCTCCACAATTAACTCTCTTGGATATTAGAAGATCCTTGGTTGGTAGACAGTTAGTGCATAACTGCCAAATGAAGATTTTAATTTTGGGTGGAATTTTGAGAGTCCAAATAAGAGTCCACTTCATTCTATCTTCTGCCCTTAATTCACCATTCAAAACTTTGTAGCAGCTTCTCACAGTAAAAACCCCATCATCATTCGGATTCCAGATTAGCTTGTCCTCTGTCTGGTGTTTTCCCAGCGGAATTTTTTGAATAAGATCTGCATCTCTTGTATCAAAGATCTCTCTAATAGTTTCCATGTCCCAGTAGCAACTATCAGAGGTTTTTAGGACGTCCACAGTTGCATTGTCCAGAAAAGGGTACGGGAAAGAAACAATCTGTGGATTATCGGTATCAGGCAGCCAATTGTCACCCCAAATCTTGATCTGATCTCCTTTACCCACTCTCCACCTGCTGTGTTTTCTGAGGACCTCCTGAGTTTCTAATAAACTACTCCAAATATAGGATTGGTTAGAACATTTTTTTGCGTCAAGAAAAGTTGAAGTGGGGTAGTATCTAGCACTGTAAATCTTTGCCACTAGAGAATTAGGATACTTGATTAGCCTCCAAGCTTGCTTGCATAACATGGCAATGTTGAAGTCTCTAAGATTTCGAAAACCAAGTCCCCCCCAGTTCTTATGGACACACAGCTTGTTCCAATTTTTCCAATGAATTCCCTTACTCTCAATACCACCCCCTTTCCACCAATAGCCATTCATTATAACTTCCACCTCCTTAATAAGATCCTTTGGCAGTAAGAACACCCCCATAGCATAAGAAGGAATGGATTGGATGACACTTTTAAGGAGGATTTCTCTTCCGGCTCTAGAAATGAATCTTTGGTTCCATCCCTGTATACGGCTGATTATCCTTGACTTAATGAAACCAAAAATCTGTTTTTTGTTCCTTCCAACCAGCATGGGCAAACCCAAGTAATTCCCACTACCTCCCTCACACCTAACTCCCAGAATGTCTCCTACTCTTCGTCTCATAGACTCATCAACGTTCCTGCTGAAACAGAGTGAAGATTTATCGAAATTGATTGATTGTCCAGAAGTTGAGGAGTAGCTGGCCAGCAACTGCTTCAAATTAGAGGATTCTGTAAGATTAGCCTTGAAGAAAATGTAGCTGTCATCGGCGAAAAGCAAATGAGACACTGCAGGGGCTGATCTGGCTACTGATATACCATGAAGTTTACCAGCATTCTCATAACTTTTAATCAAAGCACTAAAGCCCTCCGCAACAATGAGAAATAAGTAAGGTGACAAAGGGTCACCTTGTCTGAGACCTCTACTGGGAATGATAGGACCAATCTCATTATTGTCCTTCAGAACATAATACACAACAGTAGATACACAATACATAATCATGTCCACCCAACGGTTATTGAAACCCATTTTCAACATGATAGATTTAAGCAAAGGCCATTCAACTCTATCATAAGCCTTGCTCATGTCGAGTTTGAGTGCACCGTACCCCTCCCGACCTTGGGTTTTCCTTTTCAGATAATGCTGCATCTCATAGGCCACCATTATGTTATCCGTAATCAATCTCCCGGGGACAAACGCACTTTGATTATCAGAAATCAAACCCCCCAGAATAGGTTTTAGCCTATTAGCCATCGTCTTTGTGACAATTTTGTATGCGACCGTGCAGAGAGCAATCGGTCTGAGGTCTGCCATTTTTTCAGGAGTAGCCTTTTTGGGGATAAGAACAATATGGGTTTGATTTAGTCCCTTTTGGAACTTGCCTGTCCTAAGGAACTCATTACAAAGAGAGGTCAAGCTATCCCCAACAATATCCCAGTAACTTTGAAAAAAGCCGGGGTTTAAGCCATCAATACCTGGGCTCTTGTCCGGATGCATCCCGAAGGCCGCAGTTCTGACCTCCTCTCTGGTGAAGGCTCTCATAAGGGCCTCATTCTGCGAAGCTGATACCCCCTTGCGAATCTCTTGGAGAACAGGAATTTGATCACCGCTTGAGGCAGTGAAGATTTTTAGAAAATAATCCTTGATCAGATTCTGAATTTCCTTCTCTTCCTGAGTCCAGTTCCCAGCTTCGTCCCGGAGCCTCTTTATAGAATTGTTCCTCTTGCGCTTACTAACAGAGTTGTGGAAGAACTTTGAATTACAGTCACCATCCTTGAGCCAAAATACTTTAGCTCGTTGTTTCCAGTACATATTTTGTTGATTAAGAAGATGGAGCAAAGATTTCTGAATAGCAGCGAATTCCTCAATACCACGAACATCCTCTCTATCGCGGAGAAACTGAAGTCTGGACTTGCATGCATCAATTCGAGGTTGGAAGTTTTTGTGATAATTCTTCCCCCAGTTCCAAATGGCTTCACCGCACATATCAAATCTAGTACACAGTTCAAGACCCACAGAAGAGTCCCAGCTATAGTTGATAATTTCCCTGCATCTAGCCTCTTTAACCCAGCAATTTTCGAATCTAAACCGTCTTCTCCTACGCTGTCGGACCGAGGGGATAGGCCATATAGCAATAGGTAAGTGATCGCTCTGTAAAGCTTCAAAAGAGGTTGCCTTCGCTTCCTCAAACTGCTCGGCCCACGAGTCACTTACAAGGATTCGGTCTAGTTTCTCGCGGATCCAATCTCTAGTCCCTCTTCCTTTCTCCCAGGTGAACTGATACCCACTAAATTCAAAGTTACTCAATCCACTTTGTTCCACTGCTTCTTTGAATCCCTTAAGCAACCATTGAGGTTGGGGTCTTCCGCCTAATTTCTCACTTGGCTTGAGGATGTCATTGAAGTCCCCCATGACTATCCATGGTTTATTTCCTTGGGTAGCCAATCTTCGAAGAAGATTCCAAGATAGGTGGTGATTTTGCCTTTCCGAATGTCCGTAGAACCCTGTAAAACGCCAAACTTGCTGGGAGTTGTCCATACGGACAAGAGAGTCTATATGATTCGAAGAGAAGGTAGATATATTTAGTTCAATATCTCTTTTCCATAACAGGGCCAGACCCCCACTTTGACCCACAGCATCCACTGATAACAGCCCATCAAAGCCCAACTTAATTCTGATACTCTCCATTCTATGCGTAACAAGTTTTGTTTCCATTAAAAATAAAATAACTGGCCTCTTGGAGTGGACAATGTCCACAAGAACTTGAACCGTCGCTGGGTTGCCAAGCCCCCGACAGTTCCAAGCAATAAGACTCATTGAGATAGGCGGGCCTGAGAACCAGGTCCCGCCTCCAGCAAGTTTTTTGGCCCACTAAACGACTCATCTTCATGCTCCATCTCCATGATTTGGGTTCCATCTTGTTCAGCACTGTCTCTTTTTTTTCTTTTTGGATCACGGACCAACACTTCATTTAAAGGTAAGCCCAGCCCAATAACGTTCGGGTTAGGAATAACCCAGTCCAACTCTTGGACCGTTTGGCGTGGATATTGAAGAAAAGAGAATTGACTGCTAGGATGCAAAGAGTCATTTACCATTAAATGAGTCTGGACCCCCTCAGCATTCAGAATGGCTTTTCCAGCTGTCTCTCGATCAGAGTTGCTACCATTAATGCCATCAGTAGCATTAATCAGCGTGTTGAGAGATGTTTCCTTAACCTGAACATCCATTTGTCCTACCGCTTCTGAACCGTTAAAGGTGTTCTGATTGCATTCCGTATTCGGCATTCTCCTTGGTGGGGTGGACAGAAGCCAACGCTCCCCCGTTAACGGTCGAGATCTCCGGCCAGCAGCACGTAACTCCGGCCCATAGGGACGTTCCGATGGGGCTGGGTGCGACTCAAAGAGTTTCTGGCATTGACGATCTCCATGCCCGATCATTCCGCATAGGAAGCAGAAGGTTGGGAGCCTCTCATATTTGAACTCGACCCATCTGGCCTCTCCTCTGGGAGGTTTGACCTTCATCTTCCTCTTCAGAGGACGGGTGATATCCAGGCTCACTCTTATGCGGATAAACGCCTTCCAAGTTCCATCAAACTGAACAGCATCAGCCTTCTTG